TAGTTAGAGTGGACATCCTTATTCATTCTTGATTTTAGGGGGAAAACATTCAGACTTTTATCATTAGGTTTCATGTTAAACTGTAGATTTTTTGTAGATGTTCTTTTCTCAAGTTGAGGAAATGTTCACCTAATTCTATTTTTCTGTGCTTTTCCCAGGTGCTTGGTATATTCTTTCAATATTTCATGTAAGTCTTCTAATTTTAGGAATTTTTTTCTTGAATTAATAATGTTTAATATTTTTCTTATTTCATTCCTCTAATTTCCTTTTTTAAGGATTCTATGATATATAATCAGGAGCTCTGGTAGCATAGTACCTAAAGCATTTGACTGCTAACCAGAAGGCTGGCGGTTCAAACCCACCAGCTACTCGGAAGGAAGACTGGGCAATCTGCTTCCGTAGAGATCCCTCCTCGGAAACCCAAGGAGGGGTCCTTAAGAGTTGAATCGACTCAACGGCCGTGAGTTTATTACATATATCTAGAGTCTTTGCTTATATTCTTGTCACTTTTAATGCTGCTATTTTTCACCTTCAATTCTTTTTTATTTAAATTTTTCTTTCTACAGTATTTCTCAAAAACATCTGTTGTGTTGGCTCTTATGATTGTTCTTGGTTAGATCTCCTTTCTGAAATAATTTCTTCTTTTATTTCTAATCTTTTTCTGATTAGTTGTATCTTATTTTTGAGTTTTTTCTAATTCTGATTTATAATGTTCTTTCATATTTTCTAAGACACAATTTTCACCTGTTTTGTGGGTGTGTCCTTTTAGCAGGCTTTCAGTATCAGCATTATGCTCCTTATTCTCTCATTATTTACAGCATGGAAATTCAACCATAATCCTTTCTGTTACTAATTTTATGGTAGGTTTTCCTGAACTTTTAGGAGGTAGGAATGGGTCAGAATAGCCTTTAAAACTTCATCACTCTAAAGTTCCCTTTTCTGTTATTTTTTTCAAAGTAATAAAAAGTACAGTTACCTACTTTTTGAGATCTCCTGGCTCTGTTTGCCTTCCCCACTTTTATCTGTATCTTCTCTTTCCTTTGCCCTTATTGTGCCTGATTCATTCTGTTTGGATTCTATTCTTAGCAGTTTAAGGTATTGTCCTGGATGAGACTTCAGCTCCTTGTGTTTAGTTTAGCCCATTATATACTGGCATGAAGCTTTTGTTCTCAAATTGCCTTTCCAAATTCCTGACTAATCCATGATTTTGGGGTTCTGTCTTCAGGTTCTTCAGTGGCTCCATTGCTCCTGTCCTTTTGTTTCATTCTGCACATATACTGGTACTATGTGAGTCAGTGGTTTAACCATATCCTACTTTAATTGGAGGGTTCATGGGATTACTTTGTTGTAGATTTTGAATGTGAGATTTTGGATTGGCTATCCTGATGACTGTCTTTTTGTAGGTTGGAGAATCTTAAGAGAATGAAAAAAGTCAGAGGTTTTATTCAAGAGAATGAGAATATAGGTTTGCATTTTAAAAAGAATCTTCTGTCTGTTATATGAGAGATTGCTTCTGTGGAAGTAAGGAGACTGTGTTGTTGTGTGCCATTGAGTTGATTCCCACTCATAGTGACTTTATAAGATGGAGTAGAATTTCCTGGGGTGTAAGTCTTCATGGGAGGAGCTCTGGTTAATGATTAATGCATTCGGCTGCTAACCAAAAGGTTGGCTGTTTGAACCTACCAGCCACTCCACCAGAGAAAGATGAGACTTTTCTGTAAGATGAGACTTTTACAGTCTGTTTCTGTAAAGATGTTACAGCCTTGGGAGCCCTGTGCGGGGGCAGTTCTCCTCTGTCTTACAGGGTTGCTATGAGTCAGAATCAACTTGATGGCAGTGGATTAGGAAATCTCTACAGGAGCAGATCGCCAGGTCTTTTCTCCCTTGGAGCACCCTATCAGTTAGTAGCCAAGAGCTTAAGCATTGGGCCATTAAGGCTTCTTGTACAGAGGCTAGTTAGGCTGCTATGGTGGTCCAGGTGTGGTGATGATAGCTTGGTGTAAGTTAATGACAGTGGAGCTGGGAGGTTTTAATCTATAGGTTTTGGTGACTTGAAGGGTGGGAGAGTGAGTGGACATGAATGTTTTCCCAGAATTGGTGCTCTTGAAGCTATTTGGATAATTGTACTGATATTGGGAATATTCATGGAAGAGTAGATGGTAATTTTAGTGTATTTTTTGGAGGCAGGAGGGGGGAACAGGTATAATACTAGTCTTCAGCATGCTGAGTTTGAGGCCCTTGCAATAATCTGCCTTACACCCCTAAACATAAGACACACAGATACACTCAAATTTTAATCCTTATCCTGGCCTTTTCCTGACCCTCCATTTGTGTATCTTTTTGATAAGGAACTTACCCTTTATTGCTTGTCTTAGCTTAATAGATTTTTTACTGCTTTTTTAATGACCTGTCATTTTCACTACACTACCTGTTGGCATACTGTTTCTTAAAAGGACACATAGTACGTATTTTAGGCTTGGTGGCCAAGAGGCAAAATCTAAGGTTTCATGTAGGCACTTACATAATTTAAGATGTAACCGCTTGGAAATGTAAAAAACATTCCTAGTTCTCAGGTCCTAGAAAAACAGAGTTGGCCTTCAGCTTACGGTTTGCCGATCCCTGTACTAGACTGTGAATTCATCATTTGAGTGCACTCAGTAAATTTTTACTCAGTGGGTGGACTTACGGTCTTGGAGCTCAGGTGAGAGGGCTGGGTAAATACAGATATTTGGGAGTGGTCATCAAACAGTAATTGAAGACATAAGAGTAGATGAGATCACTTAGGAAACATGCAAGGAGAAAGTAGCTCAAATAAAAACATAACAAACCATTGACTAACTCAAAGGTGGTTGTGTCAGACATAGTACAGTTCCTGTTGCTAACTGACCTAAACCAGTTTGCTCATTTATACTCATAAGGTTCTGTTGGGTAAATATAGGAGACCTTCATCACCTCGAGAGTCCCTGAGTAGTGTAAACAGTTAACACACATAGCCACTAAACTATCCTTTTCTTTTTTTTTATTATGGTAAAAATGTATATAACAAAACATTTGCCATTTCAATGATTTTTACATGACCTTAGTTCATGTTACATAACCATTGTTGTTGTCGTTGTTTGCCATCGAGTCGGCCCCGACTCATAGCGACCCCTCCTTGGGTTTCCGAGGCAGTATCACTACGGAAGTAGGATTGCCCAACCTTCCTTCCGAGGAGTGGCTGGTGGGTTTGAACCGCCAGCTGTCTGGTTAGTAGGCAAGTGCCTTAGGCACTATGCTACCAGAGCTCCTACAATTATTCCCCATATGTTACATAACATCTTATAACAATTGGTAAACAATTAAATGTAGTTATTGTAATGAAAATATTTTCTCTTTCCAGTTTTAGTAACAATTGGATAATATATCAGTTTAGGCAAATTTTAACAGTGCAATTCTGATCTTCAAGTGAATAAAGCTAGTTTAGAGTTATCAAATAATAATTCAGTAATATTGATATTTGATGATTGTGTAATATTTCTATTACCATTTTGTATGATATTCTAGTGCATAAAGTACTCTCAGTGTTAATAGTGTTGAAATCAAAGTACAGAAACATAGAACTAGATTTGAGACTACTATTGAACACTGTTAGTGGTAATTGTTTTATTAATGTATCATTTCATATTAATGTTACTAATTTGATTTGTGTTGGGCAGCTTTATTTACATTTGGCGTGTATTTATATAGAAGTATATGTTTATTTGTAGATTACTATTTCAGTATTTTGACAGACATTATTATTATTTGAGTTCTGCAAGATTTCTTTTTTCCCTGAAAAGGGATAATTTTCACTGCAGTTTTAAAAACTTGACAAAAATATAACAACAAAAGAATTCTTAAATAATTTAGTAGCATACTGAATCGGGAAATGTACTAAAAGTGTAATATACTATGACCATGTGGCTTTTTAAGGATCCCTGGTTGTGCAGTGGTTAAGTGCTCGACTCCTAACCAAAAGGTTGGCAGTTCAAACCCACCAGCTGCTCTGTAGGAGATGAGACCTGGCAATCTGTTCCCATAAAGATTTCAGCCTAGGAAACCTAATGGGGCAGTTCTACTCTGTCCCATTGAATCACTGTGAGTCATAATTGATTTGATGTCTCACCACAGCAATGTGTAGCTTTTACTCCAGAAATGTAAAGATGTCACTGTATTTGTATATGAAATAAAATAATCATCCTATCAGTAGCTCAGAAGGGGAGTGAATATCTAATCATCTTAATAGTTTGTGATTGGATATGCCTAATAGAGCCTCTTAGTAAACTTAGAAGGATACATCTTTATCTTTTGATAGAAAATAACTATCTCAGACTTACTTTCATTTTCATATAGTTTTAAGACCATGACCATGAGTTATTTAAAACAAGAATCATTGAGTTTGAATTCATTGGTTGCAGCTATGTTTAACTTAAAACAATTAATTTATTGGAAGAATATGAGGTAGCTCATAGAATAAGCTGGAGAAATGGGAATAGAACAAATCCAAGATATGCATGTTACTCACTGTCTTGTCTGAATACTTCCTTTGGGTGTTAATGTGTTTTCAAAGTTGTGGGGAGAAAAAGTTTGTTGGCATAATTTGGGCCTCAGGCCCTACTTCAGATAGGAGAGAGTGAAACGCTAATAAGTGATTCCATGAAGACTGTACACAGTTGGGAAGATGTCATTCTCCAGAGGAACTTGGATACAATTAGGAAAGGGGACTGGATGCTAGGCAGCCAAGCTCCACTTTCTGTCATCCTCAAAATTAACCAACAGATAGCTGCTAAGATAGGATTTTGGCTTTTTCACCTCTGATAGGTCTTCATTTAAAGTCTAAAACAGATTAGATCTTAATCCTTTAAATTATTTCTAAAAAAAAAATATATATATATATTAACTCTTACATATCTGAGAACTTAATTTATATACTAGCAATATCAATATTTGGATACTTATGTAATCTTTACTTTTCTTTTTAGACAATGCGAAGACACAGAAATGAAGTGACAGTTGAATTACGGAAGGTAAGGGTGATTAATCGAGGTTTTATTGTGTTTGAATTTTTAGTAAGATAGCTTTCTTTTTTTTTAAAAGAGCCTAAATTCCTCATATCAGCAAATTAAGAAGAAAAAGGTGGTCATATCATTTGATGAAGAAAAAGCATTTGACAAAATCCAGCACCCATTCCTGATAAAAACTCAACAAGTTAGGAATAGAGGGGGTAAACCTTAACTTGATAGGAGCATCTGCAAACCTACATCTTACATAATACATAATGGGTGAAATATTGAATGTTTTCTCCCTATCTGGGAACAAGCTAGGGTGTCTGCCTTCACACTGCTCTTACTTGGCATAGTGCTGGAAGTTCTAACCAGGCCCTTAAGGCAAAAAGAAAGAAAAGGTATACAGGTTGGAAAGGAAGATGTAAAACTACCCTGTGTGCAGATGACATGATTGTTAGCATATAAAATTCAAAGAATTCTAACAAAATAACTTCCTAGAACTATTTTGAGTTCAGTAACATTACAGAATACAAGATTGTTGTTGTTAGGTGCCGTCAGGTTGTCTCCGGCTCATAGCAACCCTTTGTACAGTAGAACGAAACACTGCCCACTCCTGTGCCAGCTCCATCATCCTTGCCCATCGTTGCAGCCGTTGTGTCAATCCATCTCATTGAGGGCCTTCTGCATTATCATTGACCCTTCACTTTACCAAGCATGATATCCTTCTGCAGGGAATTGTCCCTTCTGACATGACCTAAGTAGGTGAGACAAAGTCTGGCCATTCTCACTTCCAAGAAGCATTCCAGCTGCACTTCTTCTAGGACAGATTTGTTAGTTCTTTTAGCAGTCCATGGTATTTTCAGCATTCTTCGCCAACCCCACAACTCAAAAGCATCAACTCTTCTTTGGTCTTCCTTATTCATTGTCCAGCTCTCACATGCATATGAGGTCATTAAAAATATCATGGCTTATGTCAGGCACACCTTAGTCTTCAAGGAGGTATCTTTGCTCTTTAGCACTTAAAAGAGGTCATTTGCAGCAGATTTGCCCAATGCTGTAAGACATCTGATATCTTGACTGCTGCATTGGTGTTGATTGTAGAACCAAGTAATATGAAGTCTTCAACAACTTCAGTGTTTTCTCCATTTATCGTGATGCTGTTTATTGGTCCAGTTGTGAGGATTTTTGTTTTCTTTATGTTGAAGTATAATCCATACTACAGACTAAAGTCTTCAGTCTTCATCAGTAAGTGCCTCAAGTCATCCTCGCTTTCAGCAAGCAAAGTTGTGTCACTAGTATATCGCAGGCTGTTCATGAGTCTTCTTCCAATCCTGATGCCATGCTCTTCTTCATACAGTTTAGCTTCTTGGATTATTTGCTCAGCATACAGACTGAATAAGTATGGTGAAAGGATACAACCCTGACACAGTCCCTTCTTGATTTTAAACCATGCAATGTCACCTTGTTCTGTTTGAACAACAACTTCCTGGTCTATGTACAAGTTCCTCATGACTATACAATTAAGTGTTCTGGAGTTCCCGTTCTTCTCAATGTTATCCATAATTTGTTATGATCCACACAATCGAATGCTTTTGCACAGCCAATAAAACACAAGTAAACATCTTTCTGGTATTCTTTGCTTTGAGCCAAGATTCATCTGACATCAGCAATGATATCCCTCGTTCCACATCTTCTTCTGAATCCAGCTTGCATTTCTGGAAGTTCTCTGTCAATATATTGCTGCAACTGTTTTTGAATTATCTTCAGAAGATTTTACTTGTGTGTGATATTAATGATATTGTTCGATAATTTCCACATTCTGTGGGATAACCTTTGTTTGGATGGGTATGAATATAGATCTCTTCCAGTCAGTTGGTCAGGTAGTTGTCTTCCAAATCTCTTGGCATAGCCGAGCGAGTGTCTCCAGCGCGCCATCTATTTGTTGAAGCATCTCAGTGGGTATTCCATCAATTCCTGGAGCCTTGTTTTTCAGCACTTCCTTCAGTGCAGCTTCAACTTCTTCCTTCAGTACCATTGGTTCTTGTTTTAACTAACTTCAGCTTCAACTTGCATAGGAGCAGCTGATGGTCTGTTCCATAGTCAGCTCCTGGCCTTATTTTGGCTAAAGATAATTGAGCTTATCCATTGCCTCTTGCCACAGATACAGTCTCTTTGGTTCCTGTGCATTCCTTCTGACGAAATACACAGCTGACATTTATGTTGTTGAAAAAAAAAACATAAATATATAGCTGCCATTTATGTTGTTGAAAAAAGGTATTTGCAATGAAAAGTCATTGGTTGGTCTTGTAAAATCGTATCATGCAATCTTTGGCATCATTTCTATCACCAAAGCCATATTCTCCAATCACTAATTCTTTGTTTCCAGTTTCCACGTACCAATCACCAGAAATAATCAACACATCTTGACTACATGTTTGATCAATTTCAGACTGCAGAAGTTGGTAAAAATCTTCAATTTCCTTCTCTTAGGCTGTGGTGTTTCGTGTAAAAAGTTGAATAATAGTAGTATTAACTGGCCTTCCTTGTAGCCATATGGATATTAACCTATCATTGACAGAATTGTATTTCAGGATAGATCTTGAAACATTCTTTGTGCTGATGAATGCCATACCGTTCCTCTTCGATTTGTCATTGCTGGCATAGTAGATGATGTGGTTGTCTGATTCAGAATGGCCAAAACCAGTCCATTTCAGGTCACTGATGTCTAGAATATCAATCTTCATGAGTTACATTTCATTTTTGACAACTCCCAGTTTTCCTGGATTCATACTTCATATATTCTACGTTCCAGTTATTAATGGGTTTCTTCTCATTTTGAGACGTGCCACATCAGCAAATGGAGGTCCTGAAAGCTCTACTTTATCCATATCATGCAGGTCAGATCTACTCTGATGAGGCAGCTCTTTGCCAGTCATACTGTGAGTGCTTTCCAACCTGAGGGGCTCAACTTCTGGCACTGTATTGGACAGTGTTTCAGGAGTGTTCATAAAGTTGTCCTATAGTATATCAGACACTGTTTCACTGCTATTCATAAGGTTTTTACTGGCCAGTTCTTTGAGAAGTGGATGACCTCTTTCTTCTTCCAAGTCTGTCTCAGTCTCAAAGCTCTGGTGAAACCTGTCCACCATGGGCAACCCTACTACTCATAAGGTTTTCACTGGCCGATTCTTTCAGAAGTGGATGGCCTCTTTCTTCTTCTAAGTCTATCTCAGTCTCAGAGCTCTGCTGAAACCTGTCCACCATGGGCAACACTGCTGGCACACCTTCCAGCCTCACAGCAACATGCAAGCCACCATAGTCCACACAAACTGACAGACAAGTTCATCTCCCTTAGCTGTTCCAACTGCTCTGCTTACTTCCTGGCCTTCCCCCTATCTGTTCCAGCCATCTGCCAGCTCCTGCTTCCTGCCTGTGGGGTCTCCCCTCCTTACCTGTTCTTGTTAATATAAGATTAATGTGCAAAAATCAATTGTTTTTATATATGACCATGCAAAGAGTGAAGTTGAAAACACAGTGCTATTTACAGTCACTCCAAAGAAAATAAAATACTTAGGTACACATGTAACAAAACATGTACAGGATTTCTACAATGAAAATTACAAATGCCAATGAAATAAGTTAAGAACCTAAATAAAAATGGACAGGCATTCTAGGGTCCTGTATTAGAAGAGTCAACATAGTAAAGATACCAGTTTTTCCCCAGATTGATGTATAGGTTTAATGCAATTCCAACCAAAATCCCTGCAAGATTTTTGTAGATATAGACAAGCTTATTCTAAAATATATATGGATAGATACAGGCACTATAATAGCTAAAACAATGTTGACAAAGAAAGAATAAACTGGGAGGAATTATTCTATTTAATATTAAGGCTTACTGTAAAGCTACAGTAATCAATACTGTGTAATACTGGCAGAGGGATAGACACAAGATCAGTAGAAAAGCACAGAGAACCCAAAATTAGACCCACAGAAATAAGCCCAATTGATTTTTTAAGTTTCATTTCATTTTGTCATTGTTGAGAATCTACACAGCAAAACATAAACCAAATTCATCTGTTTCTACCTGTACAATTCAGTGACACTGATTATATTCTCCAAGTTATGTAACCATTGTCACCGTCCTTTTCTGATTTGTTGCTCCCACATTAACATAAACTCACTGCTCCTGAAGGTTCCTATCTAATCTTTGAAGTTGCTGTTGTCAATTTGATCCCATATAGATAGTTCTTAAAAGAGCATAATGTTCAAAACACATTTTTTTTTACTAGTTAAGCAAAATTACTGTTTGGTTTTAAGATGACTTGAAGGGTTATATTTGGTTTAAGATTGAAAGATTAGCTGAGGGCAGTAGTTTTCAAGGTTACATCCTGCCTCCATGACTCTAGAAAATACTAGATTCATACTTTGTATATTCCATGTTCCTATTATTAATGGATGTTAGAAGATACAGATGTTCCACAGTCAGCTCCTCGCCTTGTTTTGGGTCCAGAAGATCTGGAGTCCATGAGAATTTGTAGTTTTGTTCTGCATTTTACCCCTTTTGGTGATCAGGATTCTTCTGTAGAATCTTTGATCAAAATGTTCAGTAATGATGGCCACACATCATGCAATTCTTCTGGCCTCATTGCATAGGAGACAGTTGTTTACGGAGGCAGTTAGTCACACATTCTATCGCCGCCTCTTATTTCTGACCCTTCTTCTTCTTCCTTTGTTGCTCCATAAGAAAAGAGACCAATTGTTGTGCCTTGGGTGACCACTCAAGGGCTTTTAAGACCCCAGACATTATTCAACAAACTAGAACAAAAGCACTAATATGTTATTTGGCCAGTTCACTGGGATATCCCATGAAACCATGATGCGAAACCTCCAAACCGAGGAACCAAATCCCATGAGGTGTATGTTTGTATGTAGCAGCCTCAACAGCAACTCTTTTGTTGTTTTTGTTGTCATTGTAAATGGTGTATGTATTATATGTATCACGCAACTTTTCCTTGCCA